TGGGCTCCAGGAGGTGCATCGGCAACAGGTTTACCCTATTAGAAATGAAAGTGTTGCTGTTCTACATTTTCGCCAAGTGTAACCTCGCACCGTGCGCTAAGTCTTCTATACTGTTGAAACAGGAAAGGATCCGCTATGACGTAGGAAAACGGCTTTTGGCTGAAAATTCGGCCGAGAAGTGTAAAGGGAGCCCGAAGAAAATTGCCATCTCAGGGACGATAATGTTTATCGAGAAGATTTCCGACAGACATCCTGATAATTAAGTTACTTTGCAACGTGCATCACGTGCGATACTTGCAATATCTTTTTTTGCAGTTTTCTTCTTTATCTACCTTTTGTAAAAACAACGTCGAAAGCAAATGTATGGCCGATTTGTTTGTTTTGAATCTTTTTATAATTAGTAATTTAATTAGCTGTAATAATTGCAATATGTAATACAGTTGCAATATACGTTAGTTCTACAAGACTTTTTAAGGGAAAACGAGAATCTAGCCGGCGAAATGTACGAATTACGCGTATGTGCAAAGATATGCATGTTGCGGATATTTATTCAATTTCTTCAGTTAATATATTGCGGATATTTATTCAATTTCTTCAGTTAATTCAAAATCCAAGTTACGGACGAATATACGTGCTTTGACGTTTTCTTCAAGAACAGGATGGAATTTATTTTTCTCCTTTCCCTTACTGACCTTCGTTCGTTCCATCAAGAAAATTGTTAATTCTCACAATTTCAAACGATATTATCAAAGAATTTTCCATATCATTAGAATAAGATAATAATCTTTCATAGATCTCTTCTTTTTACACGTTTTTACGAAGATTAAATATATTCTTTGTTGCGAGAAATATGTATATTCGTTAGACGTAGTTTCGTTACAGTTAAGTTGGTATTGGAAATAGATATGCTTACGTTGGGCTGAATTGGAAAAATAATCATTTGATCATATTTCACCCATCGTATCTAGCGATAACGTTGTTATCGTTCTCGGAAAAACATAACAATATTTTGTATTCACTCCGAATTTTAGAAATTTTGAAACAAACTATGACTTCCGCCTATTGCTTTTTAACATTGAAATATGTTGTTCATACAGAGAAAAGATATGCGCACGGTATGTACCTACTCGTTTTTCCTGAATGTTAATCACAAAATGACTCTTCCTTATCGGCTTTTTATTTATTAAAATAATCTCGTGATTTTTCTAATTTATTGTGTTATTTGAGCACTGATTTGTACTTTCAGCCTTTTCTTGTACTAGTTTTCGAAAAATTCGTGAAAAAAAATTCTATTTGGCGGTAATTCTTGCCTGCAATACGCTGCATAGTGAGTTATACCACAGACGAGGTATATGAATAGACATTGCATCTTACGGACTTTCGTAGCCCGTGACCTGAAATACCGACACACTAAAAAATCACTGTTTTTTTAGCGCACTCTACGTTTAGATAACGGTGAGTTCGGGAACTAGTGAATGAAACAGCAATATAATTTTGAAACCCATTACAGTGTTGTCAAATTTTCAATACCGACTTGTGAAGCTAGTAAGCATAGACGAAGTAACCGAAATCATTCTACTCTATATCACAAAGAAGTCTATCCATGTTTTACGGACTTGTCACAACTTTTTTCAATACACAGTAAATTAAAATTTTTAAATTATTAATACATGGTTTTATGTTTAAATTTTTAACTAACAAAATTTTCTATTAACAATTTATAACAATAAATGACTTCAGTCGTTGAAAATGCAATTTAATGAATTCATTTTAACGAATAACATCGTACTATAGAAAAGAAAATATGAATATGGTATTGTTTAAGAAAATTTGACTTCGAAATTTCGAAACGGATGAATTTTGTAAGAAGTAATTTACAACACATAATGTACTTCTTTATTGCAAACAATATTTGTAGAAATATTTTATTGACAAGTTGACATTTTCATAAAATCGAGTTTACGAGATAAAGATAATTCAGGTTGTAGATTTACAAATTGGTAAATAAAAAGACGTCATAGTTAATTATGTTGTGCATAAAAATATTATATTTCAATCAATTTTTTTCTAATATTTTTAAATAGATGTTAATAATCAAATGTGTACTAAATCTTTTATCCCAATTTTTATTAGTCGCTGTTTTAAATTTGCTGTATTGTGTTTATATTCCTTCATTGATGAAGTATCATTCAATTCAATAAATAATTCTTTAAACAGATCTGGCTGGCAACACTGTCCATATTTTTTTAATTTTAATTTTCACCACTAGTAGTGCTGCTGTCGCAAAATCGGTACAATAGGATGTGACACGAAAATGGTACGGTTTTGTGAACCGTATTACCATGGCCGAAAAAATACATAGTGATACAATGTCTATTCATATACTCGTCTATGCCCTAAGCACAAAGCTCCATTTGATGTTTATTCTATCTTATTCTTAGTCAATGTTTATGTATTTTGTGGTACGAGTCAGTTTATATATACGAGTTAATGTGGTGTCATATAAACCTATCAAAAACATAATTTTTGTAATTGTTGTAATTTTTAAACTAATGGATTTCTAAAATCTCTAACATTTTTGATGTTGTTGAAATCTATCAGATTTTCATAGAAAAATTTAATTTTAATTCAGATCATTATCACAGATCTTGCTTGTGTCATTATTATACCGAATATAACGTGGTATGTGATGTGAAAATGGTGAAGTTCCGTGGAACATGAAAAAGTTTTGTCTGTCATTTATTTTGTGTTTAATCAGTGATATAATATAAGAAACTGATCTAGTTTTATAGTAGACTTCTGCTTATCTATTAAATAAATAAGTGAATATTTGTTTCTTTCTTGAAGACAGTTTAAAAATCAAGGTATGTAGTAATAATAACGTGTCTTAAATATAATATAAAAATAAATAATTTTTAAATACTTTGTAAAACATTTAATAAAAATAATGTAATAAACAATTATATTTAATTCTAATTCTTTAGAACAATGGGAGAACGCAAAGGAACAAATTTATATTATCCACCTGACTATGATCCTCGTGTTGGTGGACTCAATAAATTCCTTGGTACTCATGCATTACGTGAGAGAGCAAGGAAATTACACATGGGAATCCTCATAGTTAGATTTGAAATGCCATATAATATATGGTGTGATGGATGTGGTAATCATATAGGAATGGGTGTTCGTTATAATGCAGAAAAAAAGAAAATTGGAATGTATTATAGTACACCTTTATATCAGTTTCGTATGAAATGTCATTTGTGTGAAAATCATTTTGAAATAAAGACTGATCCAGCAGTAAGTATTATCTTCTTACTAATTTATTTATTACATTTGGTTATTCAGAATTTAATAAAGTATGTTTTGGCATAGAATTTAGATTATGTAATAGTGAGTGGAGCAAGACGTCAAGAAAATCGATGGGATCCTAAAGAAAATGAACAAGTAATACCAGAAACAAAAGAAGTATCCTGTAGACTATATGACGATGCTATGTATAAGTTGGAACATGGTGTAGAAGATAAAAAAGTAGCAAAGTCAAGGGAATCTTCTTTGGAAAGTGCAATAGCATTAAATAATGCTACATGGAAGGATGATTATACGTCAAATTCTGTATTACGCTCTGCATTTAGAGTACGTTTAATTATTTTTGATAGTTTTATGTTATGAGTATTTTTAGAATTGGTTACTCATAACTATTTTGTATTATAGACACAGAAAAAAGAGTTACAAAAGAAACAAAGTCTGAATTCAGTATTGCTTAAAAAAAATGGATTGAATATTGATTTAGTTAATGAACATGAAGATGATGTAAAATTAGCTAAACTATTGATGCATAATAGAGGTAATGATTTAAATCTAGACAATATATACAATCTAATGCTTCTATAATATATTATAGTATTTATTTTGTTTTCAGATATGAAAAAGAATGGTCATAATCCTTTGAAACGATTAATTACTATTGTACGATCTAGAGATAAACTGAAAAGTTCTTCACATTCTGTATCAAGCAATATCTCTAGAAGCGAAACAAATCAAATGCATGCACTTTGTAAGCTTACTCAACCAGAACCTTCAACGTCGAAAACGGTTACTAGCACATTAAATACATTAGTGACTTATGATAGTTCTGATACAGATAATGATTTATAGCAATTTGTATTTATAAAAATATGTATGTATATATACATATGTGTATATAATGACTATAATTTATAATGTTTGATATATAATATGTAATATATAATGTTTATAAAATGGAATAAAATTGAGACATTAATAACAGATTTATTAGCATTATACTTTTATTTACATTAGTTTAGTATTGTTACAAAAATTTGCAAAAATTTAGTTGGTTTGTTTTGTATTTTTATCAAATTGTTTTATTGTTGTATTTTCTTCCAATTTTATTTTTTTAAACCACAAATGGATAGTATTCATTTATACATCAATAAGTATATAATAATCAATAACTGTCCCAGTTGCAGTTATCGAAGATAACAATCTTTTCTTCATTACATGAATTTTTTTGTTTAAAAAACAAATAATGTAACAATAATCTAAATTTATATTATGGATATTTTATTAAAAGTTTCATTGTTAGGAAATGCTTTGGGATCAATTTTATTAGTTAGTGTAACTAAACCTATAATAATATTTGCAAATTTTCATCATTTTCCAATTCACCTCTAGACTAAAAGTGAAGCAAAACATACAGTTTTAAGATTTTACTCATATAATTTATAGAGCAAAAGAATATTACCATTAATACACCTCTGTCAAAACCAGATGTCTAATTTGATCTCAGATAAATTCCAGTAAAAGCACATTCTTTCTTTAATTCAAATATTAATTTACTTTTTAATACAAAATTTACAAATGGTATCTTTTTATTTGTTTTATTTTACTTTATACCAAATTCCAAATATTATTTTTGTTTATTTTTATTTAATTAAATTTTTTATTTTATTTAAAATAAATTTCTCTTTTTGGGAAATATAATTAGTACTATTATATTATTATTTATTTGAGAGGAATCATATGAATGTATCATTGTTTTTCAATTTATATTGATAGAAATTACTCCAAGACAAAAAATGAAATAACAAAATTAATATCTAAATTCTTTCAATTAAAAAAATATTAGAACATTCGCAAAGTTTACGTTATGCAGATAACAACTCTTTTTATAAGTAACTGATAATTTTGTATATCTCCAATATGTTAAATAAGAGTTAAAGAACAAAATGAAATAAAAAAATTTATTGATTTTTTTACTAATTTAATAACTAAGTGAGTAAGTAAGAAAATAGTTTTAAATAGATACATTTAGTACAAGAAAACACATAAAATAGTTAGAAAAAGGCATTTATTATTATTATTAAATGTTCTGTTCAGATATCATGTTTGGATTAGAGT